GTTCATACGCCAGCTTGCGTGCGGCCAGCAGTAACAGCCTGGTTGATCAGACCCTGATCCACCATGATGCCTGGTCTCAGACCGGGCCCAGGGGGCATTGACCCCCGAAACCCTCTCCAGGTAAACCATTGCTTCCCTTCACTCTTCACTCTCTTTTCTATCTTGACTTACGAGTTTAATTCGTTCCATGACAGAGCTCATAACTCAATTTGCTCGTGTATCAAATCGATTTTCCTAATTGAAATTAACTGAAATGTCATAAATCCATTCCAGCCCCCAAAACCACCCAAATTTTTTTGTTACGGGTTTTTAAATAAGAAAAATGTATTTATAAATAAGAAATATTGTATAAAAACATCATAAAACATAAAAGAGAATGTAAAAAAAAAAAACTGGCTTTAAAAAGTGTATTTAACTTGGAGATCAGGAACCGTCTGGAAACATTTGCTTACGTCGGCAGAATTCCCGAGTCTCGAGGGGCAGGAGAAAATATCGTGGTACCTCAGGATACGAACTTAATTTGTTCCAGAAGGCTGTTCAAGTGCCGATACTGAACGAAATTGTTCCCGTAAGGAATAATGTAAATTAGATTATTCCGTTTCAGACCCCCAAAAATACACTTACATACACTTACATAATTGTTTGAGTTTTAAGCTGTTCGTATCCTGAGGTAATACTGTACTTTAATATAACGCTAATATCGACTCTACAGCTTATATATCAGAATTGATCTAATATGACATAATAAACACTATAAGTAACATAGAAACATGATATATACTCTAGAATGAATAAAATAGGCCATAATATGGCAAGTGTCCAGGACCAGTCCGAGCATATAAAATCATTACTGCTCCTTCCTATAACGTGATCTTTGGTCCTGGGTAGGAGAAAACAAGAGTTTTTGAGAGGTTAACTGCACTAGATCACTAGTTTCATAAGGAAAACACTGACTTATTTCATGCAGCCCACCATTTATTACTCAAGTAACTGCAATAATATTGACAGGAATCATAAAAAAAATTATTGTTTTTCAATTGGCTTAAGAAATACTGGAAATATTCCAAATATTTTGGGATTTGTGTGGGAGTAAAGGGCTATGTATTTTGCAAATGTCAAAAACTTAGCAATTTGATTTTTTTGTAGAATAACTAAAGATAATAACACGATTATCTCCAGTGAGAACACTGCACTAGCATTGTTTTATAAGCAGAGGTATGATAAAACTCATAGTGCAGGGAGAGTGACCCAATAGTGGCCAGTGAAGAGGCAGGGCCAGAATCTATGACTCGGCCCCTGTACCCACAACTAGGTGAGTACCAAGTCCCAAAACACACCTTTCATTGTGCCAATTAGGCCGGGGTTCTTGCCAAATGTCATTTTCAGTGTATATTTTTTTTTTCATTTGTTTTTTTTTGTTTTGCAGCAGCGTATCTGAAGCTCGCTCGTAACTCGAATTTTGGTTCACAACTCAAAGCAAAAAATCGACTGAGCAACGACTCGTAACTCGGAAAACTCGTAAGCTGGGGCATTCTTAAGTCAAAATACCACTGTATATACTGGCTCCCTCACTCTTTTGGTCCAAGTTGGACCAAAATGTCGTCGTACGCTTCTCTCCTATGTGCAGGTTATGCGTGTATTGCTCCAGTAGAAGTACTGTGCCTTTTTTGGTCTTTAGAGAACATAAAATTATGTAGCCAGATTTCACTGACCTCGTGGGTATTGTTTGGAGTTCAGCTTTCAAAGACAACCATTTAAAAAGCGTTTGAAGCAACTGGAATGTGTATATCCCATTAACAGAAATGTGTATCCTGAGTCTGTATTCAATCTCCAGCCTCCCTACAGTAACAAAAGGATGAACAAGCATACCAGAACTCCTAACAACAACCCCTTCCCCAGAAAGATGCCCTATCTGACAATAGAAATTATTCCAGAACCTAGCTGTGCTAAAAAATTATTGAAGTTGACTGGATCTCAGGATTATGAAAATATGAATAGTACATCAAACTTCAAACAGATCCTGGGAGATTATGTTACTAAGTGACAATCAACTTACATGTTGACAGGCCCACAACCTGAGGAGGATTATTGATCCAAACAGCAAAGTAATAACAAGAGTGTGTCCTTGAGGTCATATTATTATTATTACAATCATAACTAAGCCCTAAACCCACAAGGGCCATACAGATCACGGAGAGCAGAAAAGACAAAACTGGCAGAAAGATATGGAAAAAACATACAAGTTGTTGAAGATTCTGAGAACAGCAATGAAGCTGAAAGTAATGATATGAAATCTTATTCAAAAGCATGCAAGAAACTCTTACCTGAGAAAAATTAGATTCTATGGTGGATTAAGGTATAAATGCTTATGTTAGGAGAGGGGAAGTGGTAGAAAACAAAATGCAAAATAAAATTTCTTGAATGGAAATCGAATAATGAAGGTGTGGCGTGTTCGTGATGACCTTAATGACGCTTTACCAAGATTTCTGACCCAATAAAGTTAACCAGAACATTACCTTTTAAATTTTGGGATGTGATAAATTTTCTAAATTCAAAAGCCTTTTAACATCAGAAGATTCATAATTAGGGACATCTCCATAATTTAATTTTATACACTTCCAATTTTTTTGTGTATTTCATAAAAAGTTATTGATAACAGTGTCTTTTGTGTCAAAATATAAATTTAAACAACACACTGACATGTCTCATTTTCCCTGGTATACTATCAACTCACGCCAGCCAGTATGGAGTAATTCATAACTACTTCAATGGTATTTATGTAAAAATTATTTGGAATGAGTCGAACTTTGAAAGGGAACTGAAGTATTGTATGATTATACCTCCCCTGAAATATGAGATTGCTTTTCTAGTTTCTGTTGGATCAAAAGTATTTTTTTTTAGTCTCAATTCACCCCACCCAATGCTACCATGTTCACATGTTATCAGAAAAATTGCAGACAGAGGAATGGTTGAATTATAGGCAACAGGTTACTTACAAAAAGAAACCAGAAGTGACAAATGGCATATAACAGATTTAAATGTGGGGCCTCTTTAGTTTTGATTTACATAAATGACTCAGATTACAGTAATAAATAGCAAAAAATCAAGTAGATTTGCTCACAAAAGTCAATAAGATGAACGAAATCACAATAACACGGCTGGAACAATTCACTACTAACCCACAAATTGGAGACATAACTTCACACAACATTTCTGTTCACTCTGATCCACTATCAATATCTGATAATGGCCTAGGATGAACCATTATCTACAATTTGTGGGTTAATGTAATAAGGCAATAAACTGATAGAACAGGGAGCATCAGTATTCAGAAGCATATAAATGTGGATATATTCAAGGTCCTAATCCTAGATTAAGAAGAGTCCCCATAAACTAAATACATTAATAGTTCAAACCTGATGCACAAACAATTAAGAGGTCTGATTAGCAGAAGTCTTAAGCCAAGAAAAACAGCGCAATATGTGTAAGGAAGTTAACACTTATCAAATATAGTATAGATCTACCTGTAATAAGATTATGACTACTGCTGGGGAAAACCTCAACTGGACTATGCAGTACAGCTCTATGTTACATAATGGACATAACTGCACTGGAAAGCACACATAAGGATATAGTCAAAACCTTGCAATCTGAATCTTTCCAACCAATATAAATTAATAATAGTGAACCTACATTCTCTTGAAAATGCTTAAAATGAAGGACTGAGTGTTTTGAACAAATGGGAGAAGGGAATAAATAACAGATTAGAACAAGATACAGAAAATTTCTAACAAAGACTGACTTTGTAAAAATATAAATTCAAACTGAACAAATTTAGACTAAGAATATACAAAAAGAGTATCTAGCAAAAATCAGCAAGTTGGCAGGTTTAGTGACTTGTTAAAACATAACTAAAAGTTATTTAACATAATTTAAGTTCATTTTGGGCTAGTGCTTGCTGATAATTTTACTAAATTTATGTACAAGAGAACTTTTTGCCTATAGGAAAATATAAGAAGCTTCTCCTGACTGATCAGAGACTTGAGAATATTGGTGAGATCAGTGACATTTAAGCAAAAGCTATTAAAGAGTTGTAGACAAGTGGAACAAACCTTCAAAAAGTGTCAAGGATCCCAATGGAAATAAGTCACAGTACCTGACATTACTAGTTGACCTCAAGATTAATTCTACATAACGTAAAAGCTTGGAATTATGTACAAGGCCTGAATATAAATTTAATTGATGGAAGTGCTTTGGGTGATTCTCACATTAAGACACTGTACATCAGTGGGAATGGTAGGACATAAGACCTGTCTAATTGGCTGACATAAAATCCAGACATATGAATATTTATTAAAGCACCCAAAAGATTTGATAATTTGAAACTGAAAGTAAAAGTGCAGACACACTTTAATTTGAAGTTACCAGCACTAGTCCCATTCAACAATTTAGAAAATGTTCACAGAACACAGAGTCCAATTAAGAAAAACAAGATTATGTAATATGCTGATTGAGGAATAGTGTATGGCACAGAACAAAGAAACTGGTAAATGCTAGAAATGTAGGATGGATTAAGCCTTAAAACCAGGTATGTTATGGTATATGAAATAACTGGTCAGTCATTCCATGTGAGGTATGATGAATGATGAGGTGTTGTGAGGATGGGTAAGATACTGTCTACTGTTTGTCATAGACATTTAAAAATATTAAGAGCACTGTCTGGGTATAGGACTGTAGTTATGGGGTCAAGAGGAAGTATATGGTGCTCATTGTTTATGGTGAGGGGAAGGGGGGAGGGGTGGGGGAGAGAAGATTCCTGGCTTGGGGGAGGGAAGTGGGGGTTTGCCTGGAGTGTATGGGTGAGGGTGTGGGCGTGTATGGGTGAGTGTGGGTGGGTGCTGGAGGGTGTGGGAGCGCGGGAGGTGTGTGCTTGGCCTGCGTGAGGTGCCAGTGCCAGTGGCCTCGCACCCGTGGCGGGAAAATACGAGCGAGAGACCAACCTTCTGCCAGCCACCGCGCGCCGTCACCACCACATACAGCAGGTACAGGTCCACTCCCTTGCCGTTGATGCGAGGAAGCCGCTTGAAGGCCGTCCTGTCGGGGGACACACACCCTTAGTACCTCACACTACACATATATCACACTATATATCATCAGCAAGTGCACTCAGCTACTCACTATAACGGCACTTACCCTCGCTGCTGATGAAATTCTTCAAGCTGCTTGAGAAACCCATCGTATTCCCTATCATACGCTTCGGCGTCTTTGTTCATTTCTTTAGTCATGTTTCCTCGTGATCACACACTAAAGCACTCACTTAAAAACACCGAGAACACATTTCTAGGGCAGGGGGGCAGTGATTAGCGGAGCACTGGGCACTGAAGAAGCAGAGTGAGACACACCGGCGCTAGTATTGTTCGCGAGCGGCTCACCACCAAGCGTTCCAACACTCTCCCTCACACCTCACCACCATCACAACGCACTAACACTCACCATCCTATATCATCCTCTCCGCCTCTCCAAATATATTTCCCGTTAAAAGAAAATGATTCAAGTGCAAAATTTAATAATGGAGAGCGTTTTCGGCCTGAAAATGGTGCACAAAAATTGGATGTTGCATTTTAGAAGAGTGAAGCATGCTGGGTGTAAGACGAGTGCCCATCTGCACCTAGCGACGGTCGCGCAGGCTCTGAAATACTTTATTGATTAACATTACAATAAATTTGTTTCATACTCTGATATGATTCCTCAGTATGACAGGCATAATACTAATGCGCAGGCTGAAACTCAAGCGAATCCTTCAGCCTTGTGAGGAGCTTCTATCAGCCATGATAACCCCAAACTCTTTGTTTGAGCTCACAAAATGGCGGACGGGAGGAAATGACATAGGCGTCACCTTGGCCTTCCTGATGGCTGATGATTTCTTGTTTATGGTGTCACATAGGGGAGGATATAAGCTGGTGGGTGACATAGGAAGTGTTGAAGGTGCAAAGGGCGCGCGCTGAAGGGTGTCTTGACGGGTGACGCTGTGGGGGCCGCGACTCGCTGAACGCTACCCTCGCAATCTCCATCCCAAATTGTATCGACCACCCCAAATTGTCTCGCTCACCCCCCGTCCGCAGCCCTCACAGTACCATCTCCATCTCTCACTCACACCCGCCTTATAGAGCCAAGATGGCAGTGTGGTCCTGCAACACTCCCTGCTGACAAGCACCTTCCAACTGCCCTCAAACAAGGCCGTGATCGATCGAAATTTAAAAGTGCAAAGAAAGACTTTCAGGAGGACCTGCCTCAGGAGGACACTAGGAGGTCGTCCCGTTTTCTTTAACTACAACTAATATACCATCTCATAACCACCATCAAGTAAATAACTTTTGATTTAGTTACTGCAAGCATAACATATACAAAAATACAATGGTGTGGTGGGTAGACAGGTGTGATGATCAAACTATGTGAGAGTATATTAAGAGAGATTCAATCTAGGATAACACGGGTGTGTGTGTATTAATTACCTCTACTCATGATCACTTATTTGTCTCTATTTCTAGATGCAATGTTCCTTATCTTCTGCAGGTTTGTGCAAGTGAAGATGTGATGGCGGACATGAGGTGACGTCACTTACATAACGGTGAAGACACAAGCAGGAAACATGATGTATGCCACATAACTATTTACACTGACTTCTTGGTCCACTGTGCCTCTCTCACACTCGCTTCTTATCATTACAATTGGTGTCTGGATAAATGTCAATGAGTTCTTATATGAATATATGTCAGTAGAAGGAAAAAAAACACGATAACGTCACCCATTGTGTGAACCTTTGTTAGCAATATTGCAACTTTGTATGTGCATGTGCAACACTGTTGCTAATGACTTATACTGCTGCAATTGTCAGATTATCCTATGGTAAATCTTAATTTACCACCCATATAGGTCCATAATAACTGTTTGTTCAGTCTTTGTAAATAATAGCACTGTCTTTAATATCCAGCAATATTTCTACTACAACTTTGGATATAATACAATTGCTAAGCTGGAATCACCATACTGAATTATATCTGATGTTTGAGTTCTTTCATGTGATAAACCAGACATCAGAAGAAGGTACAGCACAGCAATTATAGTTACTTTACCTCGTATTAAACCAGGTTACCATCCCCCTTCCTTGTTATTGTAATGCTTTATGTTATTTTCTTTCACTGATAAAGTGAGGCTAATATTCTCTAGCATCTCAATCGGTACATCATTAGATGGCCAGAATATACATCTGTTACGCCACAAGACGGGCAGCCATCGCTCTTTTCGCACTAAAACTTTAAAGACACTACTCTAGCAATTATATTCAAATTTTCGGCTAATTTAAATTTGATTATATTATTATTATAATCAAAGAAAGCGCTAAACCGAGATTTGATTATAATGATAAGTCGAGTGACAAAATGAAAACCATCACTGACGGCTGCAGCTTCACCATGCATCTACCTCTAATATTTTTTGTGTTAAATTAAATATACTCATATTAAAACACTTTGCAATAAAGCTTTTATTAGGAGACATAGTGCGAAATAAGTTTAGGTAAGATAACTGTGAGCTTGTAACTTAAGTGGTAATAACTCTCATTCTTAATCCTCTGGGGCCCTTAAAATGTGTTGAGAGAAAGCGAGAGAGAAGGTGGGATGGAGAGAGAAGGTGGAATGGAGAGAGAGAAGGTGGGATGGAGAGAGAGAAGGTGGGATGGAGAGAGAGAAGGTGGGATGAAGGGAGAGAAGGCGGGAGGGAATTGCAAGAAGAGAGGGGGGGAGACAGGAAGGGAAGAGAGAAAGTGATCCAACATTATCACCACTGGTGGATGGGGTTGCACTCAATGCAGGGAGGAGTCGCTCAGTCAGTGCTAGTCATCTGAAGTATTACCCGGCCCAGGCTGCGTCTCTGCAGTAATCTACCCACTTGCTACCCTCACTGAACCGTGTTTAACCTAAACGTATGGATTGGATATTCCTAGATTGGCCGTTAGAAAGCCTTTTGAGTGTGAGTTGTACAGGAAACTGATTCACACAGTAAAGTGGAGTGACAGGAAAGAAGCATTACTGGATAAGGAAGTATCTGTGGAACAGAAGGGAACACGTTCGATTGCAGACAGCCAGCAGTAACAGGTTGTTTGATCAGACTCTGATAAGCCAGGGATGCCTGGTTTTGACCAGGATGCGGTGACGTTGACCCCCGGAACAACCTCTAGGTAGTGTGGGGGAAGGTTGAAAAGTGAAGTCCCACAAGGGACACTTCTTGAACCCATCGTACCTCTGAAGTGTGAATTGGATGTATTTGGGTACATCCGCGATATACGACTAGCCTATTCTCACCTACTTGTACTCCCCTATTTGCGGGGATTAGTCTCAGTTCCTGGCCCCATTTCTCTGCTGGTAGATACTATATGATAGTTAATGACCTGCCAGGTGTGTGGGGGAAGAGATTCTCGATGAAAAAGAGATGCGGGTGCTGATCCAGCCTTTATTGTGAGGCCGGCCCGCTCTCTGTGAAGGTTTTATCCCGTCGGTTCCTTATGTCAGAGGTTGCTGACGGCGGTAAACTGATCAGGTGTAAACAATGACCACATCAAAACATGTCCCGTCGCTCGGTTGGTAGCGCACTCAGCTCACACACTGAGGTCCGTGGTGCAATCCCCGTTACGGGTGGAAACATTAGTTCGTGTTTTCTTAAGACACCTGTCCTGCTCACTTAACAGTATAAATAGGTGCTGGTGTTAGCCAATTGGTGTGGGTCGCATCCTGGGGACAAAATTAACATAATTTGCCCGAAATGTTCTGCATTACCAGGGGTTTCCTGTATAGTATGTTATTGAGATCAGCTATGGTCTGTATAAGTTGCATCATGTAGAAATAAAAATTATTATTATTATTTTCATTATTATAATCAGTGAGACCAGCTCAGTAAGTGGCTGTTGGAGCCCAGTCATAACAACTGCAAAGTAATACAGATGTGAAATGAGTAGATAAGGCCGGGGACAAGTTACAATTCCAGAGGTCAAGGAGCCAGACCGAAGGATAGACTATCTTTCAGGCACTACCACTAGGTTACAAACTCCTTCAACAATTACTGCATCTAGAGTATGCACCACCCTCTTGGATGACCCACAGTAACATTTTCACTCAGTGCCTTGTGTGTGAGAGAGCTTTATTCTGCATAAATTTAGTTAAGTTCTTAACAAATTACTATCCTCAATTTCTACGAAGGTTGTATTTAGCACATTACAAAAGCAAAACAAAAGCTGAACTGAAGGAGAGGAAGTGACTGAAGAAGGAGTGACTGAGGAGGCTAGAGGGAAGGGTTGGGAAGAGAAGGGGAAGGGAGGGATGGAAGGAGAGTCCATTCATGGCAGGGTTGGGAGAGTAGGTAGGAAATTGTTATTATTACGTTGGGGAAACGCTTAACCCTTAGGGAGGTCATACAGAGCCTGGGAAACAGAAAACAATAAGATATGATGCGTGTTAAAGAAGTGTAGGGAGGGAGGTTGATCGTGTCCATTGGCTTATATGAGCGTGTCCAGTGGCTCGATTGATAGTACACTCACCACACATACTGGGAGTCCGTGGTTCGACACCCCTGCACAAGTGGAAACGTTGGGCATGTTGTCTTACGTCTGCTGTCCCTTTTCACGTAGCAGTAAGTAGGTACCTGGGTGTTAGTCGACTGTTGTGGGTCGCATCCTGGGGGACGAGATTGAAGGCCCACAATGGTAATAAGACAGACAGTCCCTCGATGATACACCGACTTTATTGGGTTATCCTGGGTGGCTAACCCTCTCCTGGGTTCAGAATCCCATTTTATCATTGACCGGGGTGATCTGCCTCACTAATTACTGCTACACACACACACACACACACACACACACACACACACACACACACACACACACACACACACACAGTTAATGAGAAGAAGTTAATGAGAAGAATCGAATCGGACGAGGATAAGGCAGGACTACAAAGAGACCTGGACAGGCTACAAGCCTGGTCCAGCAACTGGCTCCTTGAATTTAACCCTGCCAAATGCAGTCATGAAGATTGGGGAAGGGCAAAGAAGACCGCAGACACAATATAGTTTAGATGGCCAAAGACTGCAAACCTCACTCAAGGAAAAAGATCTGGGGGTGAGTATAACACCGAGCATATCTCCTGAGGCGCACATCAATCAGATAACTGCTGCAGCATACGGGCGCCTGGCAAACCTGCGGATAGCGTTCCGATACCTCAGTAAGGATTCGTTTAAGACTCTGTACACCATCTACGTCAGGCCCATACTGGAGTATGCAGCACCAGTTTGGAATCCACACCTAGTCAAGCACGTCAAGAAATTAGAGAAAGTGCAAAGGTTTGCAACAAGACTAGTCCCAGAGCTACGGGGATTGTCCTATGAAGAAAGGTTGAGGGAAATCGGCCTGACGACACTGGAGGCCAGGAGGGTCAGGGGAGACATGATAACGACATATAAAATACTGCGCGGAATAGACGAGGTGGACAAAGACGGGATGTTCCAGAGATGGGACACAGACACAAGAGGTCACAATTGGAAGTTGAAGACTCAGATGAATCAAAGGGATGTTAGGAAGTATTTCTTCAGTCATAGAGTAGTCAGGCCATGGAATAGCCTAGAAAGTGATGTGGTGGAGGCAGGAACCATACATAGTTTTAAGGCGAGGTATGATAGAGCTCATGGGGCAGGGAGAGAGAGGACCTAGTAGCAATCAGCGAAGAGGCGGGGCCAGGAGCTGTGACTCGACCCCTGCAACCTCAAATAGGTGAGTACAAATAGGCCACAACACACACACACACACACACACACACACACACACACACACACACACACGCAACCATCTACGTTGTCTTCATAGCATAGGAGAGACGAGGTTTCATCCTGGTAGACAGATAAGTCATTTAATGAGTCTGGAGGAGAGATAAGAGCTACCTACTTACCTACCTACCGTACGAGGTTCTGTAGTGTATCGCTCAAGAAACTGGTTTTGTAATTCAGTTGTGCTTGTTTTTTTTTTATTTTAAAATCTGTAACCCAAGTTGATCAGGCCCTGATCCATCGGGAGGCCTGGTCGTGGACCGGGCCGCGGGGGCGTTGATCCCCGGAATAACCTCCAGGTAACCAACTGGGTGTGGAGAAATCACCCGCTGAGTTACAGATTGTGCCTCTGATGGAAGTACGTAGATTTTGTGGTACTTCCAAGAGTCGTTTCTTAGAAGCCCCGTAGTTGAGGTGTTATTGCGTCGCGCTGTCAATTTATGGGCTGCGGATTGATCCCCTCATTTATCAC